CACACCATTTATGGTTTTGTTTGTATCTAATCCATAAACATCTTGTCAATATCTCTTTCCACCAAACCTTGTGATTGACATGTGGCATAACTTTTCAATTACTGTGTTTGCGAATTGTCGGTCATTGTCACTTTGTCCAAATATAAATACATCCAATAAACAGTAAGCAACATTCTTAGCATGCCTATTTTTTAATGCTCCATGTTGTATAAAGTGTGTGACATGGTTTGAGACAAATGAGAAGTCACTGACAAACACCAAGATGTTTAAATTAATGTCTTTTCAGTTAATTTCTCTTAATTAAAAATTAATGTTATGTTATTACTTAAAAAAAGCAACCAAAAAAAAATTAATGGGATTGAACAAATAACAATAGAGAAAATCGCAAATGTATTGAATAAGTGGTGTAAGTGGCTTCGCTTTGTCGTTTGCATTAAGGGTTCTGATGGCAATATTGCGTCGGGAACGAGCGACGTCGAGGCGACCTCCACCGCAGTTTCGGTCGCCTAAGCGCTTTTCTGTGTACTAATCAGCGGTCGCATTGTGCTCACAATTAGCCGACAATTTCAATTTTGGACTGTTCCCGCTCCCCACCGTGAGTCCGTTTATGCATAATTCCCAATTGAAAAGTTGCCCCCGCGACGACTGTCACAATGCTCGTCGCCCCACAAAAATGACAAAAAACCATTAGACCAAAGTCAACCGCGTCCAAACTTTATTACTAATAAAAAATTCATAAACCTCCCCTATAACGTAGGTACTTTCAAAACTCATATATCTAAATAAAAATAGGTCAATTTAGTTTTAAGGATCCGTTAGTTCAACCCAACCTCATCATTCGTCTTGGTAGTTATAAAACTAAAATCGTATTTGACATTTTCGATGGTATATATGGGGTGCCCCCATATAAAATTAATCGTGGAAATTGTCAAGATGGTAGACGCCGTCGTCGCATTCGAGTAAAACCCGAAACCTACGGCGTGGGCATCGCTTATTAAAATACATATTAAGGTATGAAAGTCCAGTTGGGACGACTGCTGAAGAACCGTTTAATTGATTATTAATGATGAACCGTTTACCGCTAATAATAGGTTCCGCTGGGGCATTATACGAATAGCGCAACCGAGAACGCCGACGACGGTTCAATAATAAATGACCAAAGGAGGGATTGTTTAAGGAGGTGCTTCCGTGGACAAACGATAATGGACGTTCTAGTCGTCGCTGAATGCGAATTAAAAAATACAAAGGAAAAATTAAAAGAAAGAATACGACGGTGAGACGAAGAAGAGTGCAGCTGAATCATATTTACCTACTGCACGATAATTAAATAAAAATGTATACCAGTATTTAATAATGTATATTTTTAACCCCTTTCCCAGTCTCACGGGGTTGTTTAAATGAGATTTTAAAAGCAGTGCGCGTACCGGAAAAGGGGCTTAACCCGACACGCTAATAAAAACTTTGCTCACTAACCATTTGTACGAACTCGCACACAGTTTTTACAAAAATCGATTAGCGAAAACGATTCATAGAATAAAAAGTTTTCCCCCCACTTATTTTAGTCTTTTGTTACTTTTTATTAGCAGTTGACTTTTACTACTTTCTGGGCAATTGGTTGACTAACGCTGCATTTCTCTGAAGAATGGCATTGACATCAGCAGCAATCAGGATTAGTTAGATCTTAAATAAGTAGTGGTAAGCAGCATCATACCTACATACGACATTTTTTAAGGCGATGCAATTTTTGCCCAGCGGTCTGAATGTCATAGTGGAAAAATTCAAGTATTCGTGAAGAAGCTGACGTTATGTTGCAGTTATGTTCGAGTACATAATAATAATAATAGTCCTGCAGAAACGGATGTGAGATAGATAGTTTAGACTCATGCTTTCTATCCAAGATCGATATCAGGCATAGTAATACGCGACGTGCTAGTCTTAGGACTCATAGAAGCACTCTTTGTACGACAACAGATTCCAGAGTAGAGCTCCCATTAACCGCGCTATTACGGAACAACGTAACTTGAATGGTAAAAATACTGTGTCAGCCCAAGGAAAGTGAAGCATGTTTCAGAAGACCAGGTTATGGCCAACGTTATGACCATCGTTATGGCTAGTTATTGCATCTATATGTTATGTTCTGACACATTCTGACGATATTTTGAATCAATACAATCGTAACGTTCCTATTCATTTCTCATGAATCGTTTGATTCTGATTATGAACAAGATACTCACTGGTACTGCCAACTCTTCTAAAAAAAGAAAGACAGAGACGATATTGGGTTCATGCAGTGAACAGATAAAGATAGGCTAAAGGCGAATTTCACTCTCCCGTTAAAGAACTTAAGAGCGATTCTTATAGATTTCATCGGTATTTTAAGTTATCTACTTCAAAAGTTAAGGACGATTGTTTCGTTGGTGATGAACCGGCATACATGTGGTTGGTTCTATGGATGGCTTGAGTTGTTGCGGTTGAGAAACAATGTGGATAGACACATTAATTGGTGGTTTAACAGTTTGAGGTTGTAACTCAAGATTTCGTATTTTGGCATCAGTGTACAAAACTAAGTTTACTTTAGTCTAGTCAATTTTCGGATTTCCTTTAACTGCTTTGTTTATGCTCATAAAACAAACAAGTCTGATTCATCCATATCCTGCTGCTTGGAATGTTACTTTTGAGATCTCAAATTCTGCGAAGACATCATTAAATTATAAAGATTCTGTACATTTTTGGTGTTTGGAAGTACTAAGAACTTCTAGAATGTGGTCTAGTTGGGCAGCTTTCTGCATAAAAATTTTCTAATTGCCTAGATTGTTTTTTCATTACACTTATTTGTCACTACATTCATTACGATATTTTATGAAATTGGGGCAATAATAAAAAATGCCTTGCAACCGGTAGTGGATACAATAAAAAGCCAAGAAAAGTACTAACAATTGTAATTCTAAATTTCCTTAAAACGTTGTGAAAAAGCTTATATTACCTATGTACAATTTTAAATTGCATTATTTTAATAAGAAATATCTGGTATATTTTCGTATGTTTACAAAATTTGATGTTTACATAGTTTAGACCGGCAATTATTATTTAGAAACATTAATATTAGTATTAAGAAACTATACTTTTAATGTTACTTTTGACTAAAAGTAACAACATTGAATACGAAAAACAACGTTATGTAATTTGTAAACGATTTCATAATACTTGTGAGGAATATTTCATGCCCTAACCCGAAAAGTGTCACTAAAGAGATTGTTATCCTTCTTTATAGTGGCTGCCCACCGCATAGTAATATGGTCTGAATAACATTAGAGTTGTATTATATCAAAATTAAAAAGAAATAAAACGATATATGCATTTATTCTAAGCCACCTTTTGTAGAAACAAAGATTTGTGTGTAAATTATACCAACTTTAATCGAGTATAACATAGTATTGCTGCAAAAGATTCTAAGAGTAACAAACGCATCTTTTACCATTCGTCTTTCACGATACATCCTTGGCTTATTCTTTTGCATAGAGAGGGTTTTATTGAGTTTTCTATCATACTCTATCATCAGATAAACTTGATGACTTCCAAGTTTAATTTACCCACAAAATATCATCTGAATAATAACATTTCCAAAAACCATGCAAAACCACTTCTTAAAAAAATAACGGATCACCATAAACGTATTATCGTAAGAGCTGGTGAAAGTTGGTTTCTCCGATTAGGTAAATGTAAATTTCTTCCAACTGTCTTATTACTAGTTATAAACCACCTACACTTAGGCCTACATTAAAATGGGAGTAACGCCCATTTCGACGACAGTGTCTTTCATATTGACGTTTAACCAAATCATCGTCGTCGATGCCGGTGTCGTCGCAATTGTAATTCTGCTTTGTTACAATTTGGCCTCGGTGTATTATTGGCGGACCCCCGTGTTTCGTCGTTGTCATTAGTCCCACAAGTTGTGTGGAAGAAAGGACAGACAAACCGAACGCAGGAAACCGCTTCCGCACCGTTTACACGATAATAACATGCAATTTGATGTTTATACGTGCGCGCCACCGCTTTTCCCGTATTATTACGATTTGGGGCCGGTCATAACCGTTCCTTTACATAATTAATTATTTATGTGCAAAATTATACATTTTTTAACGAATTTACAAAAGTAAATATTTGGATTTTTACTGACAAAATAAAAAACATTTTGATTTCTTTAAGTATCTTATTTCCTTTAAGAAGTAATTCAATACTTTATAGATAAATATCTTTCATTTTGAATGGTTGAAAATGATTACCTAAAAATTCCAATCTGAAATAAGAAGTTGAAAGTGATGAGTTGGTGTAGAATGTTTCTCAACATATGTACGTTTTAGAAGATGAAGAAGAGGAGGTGGAGGAGTATATGTGGAGGTTTCACGCGTCGGCGACGTCCGGACGTTAGTTTAATATGCGTCGGGCCCTTCTTAACAACGTCGGTGATTTATTGGCGGCGCGTTTGTCGCACGTATCGCTCCGGCGAACTTACAAATGTGAGCGCGTTTACGAGAGCGGCATCAAAAATGTAAACGAAGCCCTCAGGGGGCCGTCCAAAGCAAAACCGGCATAAATAGTATACAACGTTGTGTTATCTTTGTGCCGCGCCAAATTCGTTTAACGACACCCTTTTCTGGTCTCCGTCAAGAATACGAACATAAAACATTACACTGTATACACTTATTTATACAATATATTATCAACATTTTTGAAATTCATATCAGAAATATTACAGAGATTAGAAGTTATAAAACAACTATAATCTATAATAAAATAGCAGAACACCTAGTTATGGAGAAAAAAACTCAAAAATGCTTATTTATTCCAGATATTTTTCACAACAAAAATTTTATTGGAAATCTCATGCTTTTATTGATATTAATTACTTGATGATTTTATATATATTTTCCAAGGATTCGATTTTCTAAAAATCTTTGGAGTTAATAGATAATAAACATTTTAAAATTGATACAAATTTCCAGCAACTACAAATATTTATGTCTCGAAAATAAAGTTAACATTTATGAAAGAGGTAATCCTTGATAAACTCATTACAATTTTCTCAGGATTTGATCTCTTGCATTCGGTTGTGTAATATTAAATACTAAAGGCTGAAGAGTACTGTTGAGAATACTAAGTACTGCTGGCTGAGAATTAGAAATTGCTAAACTAGTAGAATACTGTAGAAGACTATTTATAGTTAACAGAAAACTAGATTTCAGCAATAGGAGACTGGACCGGTTGGTAAAGAGCTAGATTCTGCTAATAGAAGACTAGACACAATCTTTCCTTCACTCTTTCAACCTGTCAAACATGTTATGTTAGTAACATTGATTTAGATGTCTGTTCTAGACCCTCCAAAATAATAAGCAGTGGTATTTTATGAAATTTTAAATACTATAACAACAAAATAATTGATCTATATCAACTTTAAGACAACTTAATTGATTATAATTATAGTTTTTATCAAATAACAATACATAATTTCATAATTGGTGTAAAATGATTTGGAAAGTACTTTAGATTTTATTTATAAAAATACTTTCCTTAGTCTTCAAATAATATTGTATTAATGATTAATAACAGATTAAATTAACCATAAGTGCTTTGTTTATATCCATGGATAAACAAGGTATATTTTTTTACATTTTTTATCACTTGTTATTCAATTGATAACATCTACTACTTTATGAATTAGTCTCTTACATATACATATTGATGGTTTGCATTATGAAACATTACAATAAAAACAGAATTTAGTACAACTAAATATATTTTCTTTATATGAATACTTGATGTAAGCAATAAACTATATTATTTTAAATGTGTATTAAATTTATGATACAAGCAACCAAAACTAAAATGTTTTAAATGTTAATAAATACAATAGCAATAAAAAATATTTGAGATAAACAAGCTTGCTTTAATTTTTATGAGTTTGCTTTCTAATTCTATGATAGTTAGGCAACATTTTAGAAAGTGTATCCATTTGTAGTGTTTGTATCTATAAACAAATAATTCATTATTATTACTTATACAAACACAAAAGAGTTAGAAATCTTACTGTCGGTGCACATAAAGCTTCTCTCCTTTCACAATATTCCCCAAAAATTGTTGTGTTTTCCTTCAAAACTTGTTCTTCGGTTAAAACACATCCACTTCCAATGGTACATCCATTAGTAACAGTAACTTTATTCCCAACAAAACACTTTGACTCAAATGTGTTATTATCGCCTATTTTACAAGCTTCAACATTGCAACCAACTTCGAACACATTGTTAGCACCTATTATTAAAACTGGAATGTTTTCTTGATTCTCTCTGTCGAAAGGAACCCTTAAACAATAAAAATTATTTACATTTTGAAGATTTTAAAGAGAAAATAAAATAAAAAGAAAAGGATGAAGCACCTGTGGGTGATTTTAGCTTGTTCTTCAATTAAACACCGGTCACCAATAATGATTGGTCCAGCTTCGGCAGTAATATAAGCACATGGGTGTATTATTGTTCCGGCACCAACAGTGATATCACCCCATAGTTTTGCTTCCTGGCAAACTATTGCACCTTGCATTATTTTTACACTAAAAAGAAAAGACTGGATTATTAACTTATATTATAATTATATTATAAAGTAATTACGAATGTTTAGATGACATTGTTTCGATTACACTGTATTAATAAAACAGTTATTTCTCAACGAAAATTAATAACTTGTTATTAACTGAGAATCAGTATTATATTTGAGGTTAGGTTGTGAAGTTGTGGTTGTCAATAAGAGATGGCGCTCGAAATTGTTACCTCAATTACAAAATTAATAATTTTAATTTTTTTTTAATTCTTTTTCCATTATATTATTATAATTAAATACGTAACACTATTCTTACTAATACAAGTTTGCTTTTCGTACATATTTTTCGTCCTCGGTAAAAAGGGATGAATAATAAAGTACATACTTAGTATTTTAACATATTTATTTAACCTTATCTATTACTTAAAGTGTACAAAGATGTTCACAGAATTTTTATGGTATATTTAACATAACTGAGTTATGAGGAGTTTTACGTGTTGCTCAAAAAATTTCTTTATCAATTAATATGTGTCATATTTACAAAATTTCAGAAGCAAATAAACGTAAATCATGATAATTTAAAACCCAAGTGGTTATCTGTTTATACCATATTACATATTTACAGTACATGACTAATCATATATTCCATATTGGAAAGCTTTGTCCTAATTGGTCATTATGTCAAATGTGTAGTAATGGATTAGTGGGATTCAATATCTTGCAATAACTGTTCTTCCTCTTGCTTTATAAGTTTTTGAGGTCGATTAGCGTACAAAGTATCTTTTAGAATGCTAGATCTCCACAGTGCATATTTCTTCATTTTGAATTGTTTTGTGCTCTGGGTAGCAGAAATGGTTCCCTGCATAAACGCTTGGTTGCACAGTAGAAGCACAAAGAAAACTTGTTCATCAAAGAGGTGATATTGATAAATCCATAAAAAGCTCATGAGCTGATGAATCGCACTCTTCCTTGAGGTTAACTGCCAAAAACTTACCATCCATGAACCCCAGAAATGAAACAACAAATAAAACTGTAGTCAAGAGATCATCTCCTGTAATTGTCATCCAAAGGCTGCAAATTCATCCAAATCGACTTGCAAAAAATCTGTTATGCCGGACAACTATTAAAATATTGAAGCGAAAGGACCTACCAGCACTATCCATGTCTGAATAAAGATCACCTATCTTTCATTTATTATACTATATAAAAATGGTATTGTTTGTCACAAGTAAGCATTAACATGGTTTTCTTTTGGACATACTATTGAGCGGGTTCTTACTTTGTTATTATTGTTATTTTGTATTGTTAAACATACTGTTTATTGTTGTTGTATGCTATAGATTGCAGTAATAAAAGGAAAATTTAAAAAAAAAAAATAAAAAATGCATACGAGTATTTAACAAAACGGTTATTAAAATCTGGATAGATGGAATCTCTCGATTAATCACACATCAAACTCTTTGTAATTAATCCTTTGTTTATTAACTTAACCAAACCAATCAAAACTGTGAAAACCGAACACAATCGAATTCGTTAAATCTTCATTTTAATTAATAATTAACATTTTTTTAAATTGGAACCTTAAAGTATAAGCGTAATTTTAAATTATTATTAACGTTAGTTGGATTTAACGTTTATAATGCGTATTTTCAATAATAAAGCTGTTTAAAAACTTACTTTCGCCGTGCGGGAAATTAATTTCTGTATTTAATATTTCAATAAATTAATTTCTAGTTATTTTGTTTTGTACAATGAACCTCCACAATAAAGATTTATCTATTATAAACATAGTAGAAATTAATTTGGCACTCTTAAATATCAGAATAGATAGACGTGCTAATTCTCAACACATAATTTAAGAACAAAATTTTCTTATTCTTGAAGAAACTCAATATATACTTAAATAGTAATATTTTAATACAAATACTACTATTTAAATTTGACGATAAATCTTTGATATGCAATCTTAACAAATAAATTTTGAGTTTTGATTTTATTAATACTAAGAAATATAGCAACTTAATATAATTTTTTAGATAACTTTATTTTTACTTACCATAAAATTCTTTGAGATTAAGGTCATTATAAATAGATGATTAGTAACTCGTCCATAAAGAGAGCAACTCCATGACAGTGATTTAATTCTGTACTGTCTACGGATAGCTCTCTTTATTTTCGAGTTTTAAACGAATCCATATCATTTGAAAATGTAGAAAAATCGTACCTGAAAATTTAAATAATATTATTAAGTGTTGGCATTGAAACTATAAAATCTTAAATGGCTTGTTTGATATTGTATAAAACGAAGATATCAGATAGGTAGTCAATTTGCCACTGATAATTCATTAACGTTGTACTCGGTTATGTAAAGTCGAAACGGGTTGCTGTCGAGTAATAATCCTAGTACTGAAGATAAGAAAAAAGATAAGGTTTCCCTGTGTTCAGTAAACTTCGCCATGTGGTAATTTCGACGGGATTATTTATTCTCAAACATTAGTATTTTATTGTACTATTGTATTTCGAATAAAGATAGTGATGTATGGTTGGTAAATATTGTTTGTAACTCGTGCGCAATTTAGAGATGTTTCACGTTTAAATTTAAACTTTATTGTTTCAATTTAAATGAATAAAAAAAGAATTAAACTCGGTTCTTAAAACTGACTACCAAAGGAATTATTATTGCAATAACGTTATAAGTACACCTACTTAAGGAAAATGTAGGTCAACAAATAAATCTTGATTACATCGGATGGTTAACACAATAGTTGTAATCGTCATCTAGATTAAATGTTTAGTTTATCACTTAGAACATTGCTATTTTTTTATGCCACACGTTTAGTTTTCTAAGCTGACCTTATTTTCTTCTCGGGCGCTCACCATTTTATTATTATTATTATTACCGTAAATAGTTGCGGTTCTACGCTAATTAGTGCTAAACCTTAAACGTGTATCCCAATGGTACACATCTTAAATGTATTTCAAAAATTTTTTAAACAAAAATTATGTTAATATTTTAAATCAAAATGAACTTCCATAATTATTTATATTAATTAATAATTTTGCAATAATTTTAAAATAGGAATTTTGAATTTTTATGTGACATCAAAACAATAAAGAAATTCTGGTTTATCGGGCCGCGATAAAACCTTATCGGAGTTGAAGAAGCTGGTTGTATTGTAGCATGTTTGAAACACAACGAGAAAAACCAAAAAAAAAAACAAATTACTATTAATCACTTTACATATTTCATAGCAAAAACTATTTTCTAAAAATACAAAAAAGGATAAATAACTCACATTCAAGTGGTTTTTTGATTAAAAAACTATTATTCAAGTCCTTAAATGCTCGAGAATGCAGTTAGATAAGAAAATTTATAAGATTTTTGAACGACTTACCTCATAAAGTAACTTTTCTATTTTTTTATGATATTATCACCTTCAATATTTGAACATTTTCTTTTCTTCCCTAAAACATCGACCAACACTCTCGTGGTTTAAGATGCACATTTTATATTTAAACGATCAACACGTTGTTATATACCTGTCGACGAAAAAATAATGATGTCACTGCGTTGTTATCAACTATGAGGTGTGTAACGCCGGTTTCGATTGGTTATGTGACTTCTGAAGCGGTGCGCAACATTTACGCCACTTCTCAGTTATATACCTTTTGTATTGTTTATTTACAGGTGTCCCAAAAAAAACTAAAATATCTACATTCTACTTTAAATTCTAAATAGTGCTTCTCAAACAATTATTATAATAACGTATAATTGCCATTGTTGTGGTGATTTAGTGTCGTCTTTTCTTCATTTCAAATACAACTAAATTAACGGTGAAGTTTGACCGTTTAGAAACAGTTTGTAGTAATGTTTATGTTAGCGTTAAAACGTGAAAGACGAAACACTTTCTTTAAGAGAAAATTAATGTTAAACGACTCTAAAATATTTTTAGAAATACAAATTATAATTGTTTATACAATATAAAATACAATGCATTTCTTAAAAATAAAGGAGAAATTATTTTTTTGTTTAATCTTAGGGTTACATCATACTTTATAATCGCCTGTTACATTAAACAAAAGATTGCAGTTATTATGTTTGTTATTTCTTATCAGATGAAACTGTATATTTGCTCTGCACATGGTGATCTGGTCTAAATAACGTTATAAAATATTGTAATACTTATAAAGAAATTTAAATTAAAAATTTTGAAATGCGGTTGTAATTTGTAATGCAACAGTTTAATTACGTACTTTTTTGGCCACACGTGTGTAATTATCTGATTGAATAGAAATTTCTATTTCGATAACCACAATTTTAAGACAAATGTTATTTTACTTTGTTAAGAATCAAGATCAAGAAGAAAGAGGTGATCAAAAATCTGTGAGTAATTTTAGGAGCATCAAAAAAAGTAATCATAGTAGAAATTGTGACTATAACCATAAAATTTTCTTCTTCTTTCTCTTACCCTATTCTGTCTCATGGTGCTAAGTCTGGGATTCATCTCCTGTAGGTATCCAAACCTCTAGCTATTCTTAGTACTTCGGCAACATCTTTCTCTTTTCAATCACCTTTTCAACTTTCACTTTTTCTATTAGTTCTTCTCACTGGATTCTTGGTATATCACATATTGTCTTTCTCTCATATTGAACATTTTCTATGATATTTTTTCTACGTCCATTTAAAGCAGATGACCACACAATTTCAGATATTTCTCTTCTATTTCCTTTACTAGTGCGGTGAAGCTTAGTTCTTTTCTGACTTTCTTGCGTCGTAGTATGTCTCTCCTAGTTTTCTTAATATTTTTCGTAGATATTCATCTCTGTCGCTTTTATTTTTGCTTTGTGTGTGTCTAACATTGTCCAAGTTTGCTACCCGTTGTCATAACATGCTTATTTTGTGTTTACTGCAGAGTTTTCTGTAAATCATCGTAGAAAAGATCTTCGTCTCTAACATCTGCATGTTCTGTTTTGCGTGTATTTGTATTATACCTACCCTTTCTTCAAATTCGAGAAATTTTCGAGTGTATGGACTCCCAGTTGGATAATTTGGCTTTCCGAATCACAGTTGACAGATCTACCTATGTGTCTGCAATAGTATCCTCTTTTGCAAAGTCTTCAATCCTTGTCCCTTTCTTTTCACTTCGCTGATACCCATCTATAAAATCCCATGCAGCCATTGCTATGGTTCCTATACAGGAATTACTTCCCAATATTTATTCAACCATATTAATTACCATAAGGGAGATTGTGCGCATCATTCTGAGCAAAAGCATCGTTGGATTTGACAGCATTTCTATCTTGGATAAGGAGTTAATGCCTTGCTATTTGTCCATGTATCCACACCATGCGTAATCACGGGCAGTATAACGGGAAAGCAGTTGATGAGGCCCATTGCATATCGTACATCTTCAAACTTCATTCTTTTCCACTTATGGTGGTTATGCCTGTAGCTACACAAGAAAGTCTGTCCTTTGATACGAGAAGAATCTTATCCTATCTTCACTTCTTTTATTTCATTAATATAAAACTTTCAGGTTCTCTGCATTGGAGTTGTGGGTCAACTCCATGTGTACATCTCACTGGTACTTTCTTTCATCTATAACGAGCCAAAACAATCAATAATACGATTTCGCCGTCTTACCTTTATCTAACGAGTATAAGAGTCCAGGTTTCTTACTTCTAAGCGTTTTGTCGTAGAGAGAATTGTTGTAATTGCTTCCTTCATCCTAGGAATATAGTAATGTTTCTAAAAGATCACCGCAAAGTATTTTAGAGGAGAAGAAATTATTGTATAAAGGTTAGTCGACTTTCTATCGCGGAATATTGTTGCCGAACATTTTGACTTATTGTTTTTAGTAGAATGCGCTCTCCACGTGATGTCACATATTTTGCTCAAGATGCGAGTGAAACGCACTCCGGAATCTCAGCGGTGAGCAAAGGAACGCAATTGATTGCAAGGTCTCTCTGCGAGAGCTGCGGTTTTTTCCGTGGTATATGCGCGCTTATTTAAAAGAACGTATTCCGTTCCGGGATTAATTCACAATGTGTTTAGCATAGCGAAGATCTATAAATTCTACATGGATTCTTCCAGAGATTTGAGAGTTGCTTACCTTTCTATAGCTACATAGGATAAGTCAGAAAAGAACTGGTTTAAAATGTGACGGTTTACATTATTTATCAATGTCTTGGTTTAAAAGATACGGAGAGTTCAAAAATTTCTACTATCTTTCAGATTTATAACTTTCATTGATCAATTTTGAACAGCATGTATCTCCTAATTCATATTAGTATAAGTCATGATAAATGATCATAATTTGATTTCTGGTATCTACATTTCTCAGATTTCTCATTCTTTTTGACTAACCCTGTATCAAGCGTTTCATTTGCCTACAATAATTTTAACATGAATTTTAGTGACAAATTGAAAAACTCAATACCTGAACCGTTCTTAACGAGTTAAGAAAGAATACTTAATTATGGTATTTAAGGCAATTGGTACATACAAAGTTTATTTTGTAAGATGACATAATAGACTAACTAAAAATGCAATATTCCACTATTCATTTGTGGTTATTATCAGACTCACAAAAAATACGTAAATCACGTGAGAGTAAGTATACTGATTGTGCTTTATACTGCGCTATACCGACCTCTCATGGTGAGTAGATCAATAAAAGACATTGTATCTAGCGGAATCTATAGCATTTTAATTGATTCCCTAACTAAAGCTGTTTTACTTATAAAAACAGAAAAATAAATACCAATAATTTATCACTGATAAATATGACGGTTGATCAAAGCTTGATTATTTTATGACTACATCGCTTTATGTAAGTTCTAGTACTCTAACGTCATTTAAATTCAGATAATTACATCATTTTCGGAATCTTCTTTTATCTGCTCCGTTTCTGGATCTATGCCATATTCTTCTTACTCTTCTGTTTTTCTTTTGCTATATTCCTAATTTCGAAGGGGTGATTATCTTCATTTCTCTCTTTTGCAGCTGCTCGTTCAAAAGTGTAGAGCCTGAACCTCAGGATCATCTTTATTGTTTAGTCTTGGGTTTAGACTAATTAAGTTTTCTAGCCGTACTTTGAACTTGTCCCAACCAGAATATTTATTAGTAATCTTTTGTGTCATTATTTTTTATTATGTTAATCACATAGACTTTCAATTTTGATTTGCCTTTATCAGGCGTTATCAACCGCGAAAACCAAGCGATGATGAAAAGATGTTTTGTCGTTGTACTGGCAAAACCACACAGTATAATTTTTTTTTTTTTTTTGAATTACTTTACTTTTATTCACAGATTCAGATTTTACAATAAAATATATAGGGTGCCGTTTAAAAGATTGGTCGTGACCTTCATATAACCTTGAAAATAATGTTAAGGTCAAAGTCAAAAAATGTTATCGTCATATGGTTTTCCCCTTTGCACAGAACAAGTTTCATTGGGTTCATTTTTATGTAAAATGAACCGTTTTCGAGATAATCGCTTATCTCACGGATGTCACGTTAAATGGACCATTCTGTATATAAGGTGTATACAAATTATTCTACACGTATGTAAATTTGGTTATCTATTTAAATGTATAAGATTTAATAACTAATCATTGACTACTAATTGGATATGGTGGCAGTATTGCGTCTTCTGTTTTGAAAACCTGAAGAAAATCAGCATCGTCAGTCGATAGAAAAATGGGGTTTTCTGACATTTTCCCATCCCCATCTCTCCTCGACCTAGATAAACGGATATTTTCTTATTTTTACAAAGATATTTTTTGATTTATAATTAAATAAAAACATTTTTTTGGAAAAAAAAAACTCAACTGGTAGCAAATTTATTTTTAGGAATTTTCAGTGCGTTTAATAGCACCCATGTAGTATTGGTGGCCTATTTGCGATTGCCACGTGGCATATTATGATACATATTCACACAATATGCAGTTTGATGAAGTTATAAATAATACTCTTTGATCTAATTACACTTTCCATGTAATTAATAATGTAAATTTTAATAAATTAGTTATCATTTTATATTATCATCTTATCGCCTTTTCAAATTTGAATTAATTACTATACAATGAATTGTCTTGTTTTGATGCTTAATAAAGATTACAAAATTTTTTTTGCAACACAGATACTCGTGCCTTTTTATTTGTCCAATAGGCAACCAAGAAAACCCATCGTTAAAAAGTGATCGACAAGGTCAACACGTAAACTAAATTGAAAACAAGCCTCCCAGCGTCGTCGTCGTGCACACCACCGTCACAGAAACGGCACTTTCAAGTCGTCCGATTCATTTCAGTCCGGTCCGGCCTGGGTCGTTCGTTCAGTTTTGTGTCGACCATCGTCTCGATCTGCACACCGTTTTCTCATAACTTGATTTTCTTCCCACGTAGACATATTATACTTACCTGTAGCAAAAATGTTTCGACGCACAATACTCCTATTCAATTTAAGATCCAACTTGTTGCACCGTAAGTCCGCGTTAAAGAAAAAAATATGTTTATCGTAGTAATTTTTGGGATTAATTTTAAATTTGATTGTATATTAATATAGAAAGGAACCAATCTACTGATGTTGGATTCATTGGGATTGGAAATATGGGCGCTCGTATGGCGACCAATATGATCCAAAAGGGATTGAAATTAAAGGTTTTCGACGTTGTGCCGAATGCGGCAAAATCGGTAGCGGGGGCGACAGTTTGTTCATCTCCTAAAGAAGCAGCTCAAGGATGCAAAGTGGTTATTACAATGTTACCTGATGGTGGGATTGTTAAAGAAACTTTAGAAGGAAAAAATGGAATTATGGAAGGAATTGACAAAAACGGTCTTTACGTAGATTGTTCTACAATCGATTCATCGGTAGCTCAAGACTTGTATAAAACCGCAAAATCGAATGGATTTAGATTTTTAGACGCTCCAGTTTCCGGTGGCGTAACAGGTGCGCAAGCAGCGACTTTAACCTTTATGGTTGGAGGCGATAAAGCCGATTTGGATTTTGTCGAACCAATACTTTTAAAAGCCGGCGCAAGAGTGGTTCATTGCGGTGAACCCGGTGCAGGTCAAATAGCTAAAGTTTGCAATAATTTATTATTAGCAGCTAGTATGACCGCAGTTTCAGAAGCGATGAATTTAGGTATTAAAATGGGATTGGACGCAAAAGTTTTAACATCAATTATTAATTCTTCAACCGGAAGATGTTGGTCTTCAGAAACTTACAATCCAGTACCCGGATTAATGCCGAATGTTCCTTCTTCAAACGGCTACAAAGGTGGTTTCATGATGAAATTGACCGCTAAAGATTTAGCATTGGCACAAAATACCGCTCTTAGGTGTGGCGCTCCTCTTCCGATCACCGCCGTTGTTCATCAAATTTATAGGGTGATGATGACTCAGGGATATGGAGACAAGGACTTTTCATCCACTTATGAATTTTTCAAAGGCGCAAAATGATTTCTAATTTGAATACAAAATTAAATAAAATAATGATAATGAAATGACTATGTGGTTTTAAAAAATGATGGATTATAAAGTATGTAAATTAATTATTTTAGGCATGAAATTTTCTTTGTCTTCTTTTAAACTGATACTTGTTAGGTTTAAGTAAAATTTTAATAATAAACTATTTTTCTTCAAATTTGTATTTATTAAATATTATTTTAAATTATTCACCCTCTTTAATGTAAATAAATAATAAAATTTAATTTTTGTTCAAAATCCGATTTGGTTTTTGGTTTTTTAAATGATTAAAGTTTAATACTGCTGAGTTAAATGCTAAATCGAAATGAATGAGGAATTATGTATGAGAACATCCTCTTTAATTTTTTTCCTGATTTAACCAGATTTTCAACTCTCCAAATAGGTATAAAATTAGATACGCAAGGTTGAGTGCAATGCAAATACAATATATCTAAGTCAGCCGACGTCTTACAGATATCGTATGACTTTTATCTCGTCAAGCAACGTGGGGTCTTTATCAGCACTTACAACTCTTTCAATTGAATATATCGGTTACTAATTGAACGTGCAGTAATAATAACCAAAATATCTTACTCTTATTTAGATAAGTTATATCAAATTAGATATACAATAAAAACTCGATATAACGGACAAAATATTGTATTTTTAAATCATATTATTAATATTACTTATTTAATAAATCAGAAAAAAATGGGGCAGGAAAGATAAACAAACAAATATCAGAAAGCTTCAACATCACCAAAGGCCTCCTAGAAGGATGCACACTATCACCTCTATTATTCAACATATACAGGATAGCCCATTGTAAACAAGCTGAAGGGCATAACTGCCAGAAAAATTCTCTGAAGCCCATCAAGTTTGTTTCTCAGACAAATTTTGCCGCAAAAATTATACCAATTATTATTTTTATATATAAAAATTTTTTAACACTAGACCTACTAGATCTAGAAACATTCGGATTTAGCCGCACGTCTTTTAAGACGGCTAAGCTCGAATGATTCTAGTTCTAGGTCTTTTGTTAGTTTTAGTGACAGTGCTAGTGCAAAACTTGAACTAATACTAGACGTAAATCTAGAAACATTCGGATTTAGCCGCACGTCTCTCAAGACAGCAAAACTCGAATGATTCTACTTCTAGGTCTTATGTTAGTTTTAGTGACACTGCTAGTGCAAAACTAGAACTAACACTAGATCTAGATCTAGAAACATTCGGATTTAGCCGCACGTCTCTCAAGACTGCTAAACCCGAATGATTCTAGTTCTAGGTCTTGTGTTAGTTCTAGTGATAGTGCTAGTGCAAAAATATAACTAACACTAGACCTAGAACTAGAAAAATTCGCGTCTTCAGACGCATGGCTAAACCCGAATTTTTCTGGTTCTAGGTCATGTGTTAGTTATAGTTTTAATTGATAATCATCGCTGACGTCACAAACGTGCCTTCCACTTGTGCGCCTATTCCTAGGATGTAGCAATTCTCTTAGATTCTACCGTCCTTGGTATAAATATAAAGCCACGTAGTTTTAGTAGTGGGTATACATAAAATTATTCATATAACGAATTATATTAATCCGTTATATCGAGATTTTACTGAATTAATTTTTTTTTAAATTAAACAAAGATGTTATGTACTTTATTATCTAACAATTAACCTTCCCTTTTCACCAAAAAGTATTAAATATAGCATATCTACTAATTCCTCCGAAAAGATAACGAAATAAACTCGTATTCAAAAAAACCTTATCCCCATTAATTAACATTGTAAAAAGATTATTTAGTTAGAAATAGCAAATTAGTCAAAGATAATAACGTTTAAAAGAAAATCCATAAATTCTAATGAATCACACTTGATAACCCGGCAAATAATAACAACATTATATAACACTTCGGAAGGATTCCCATAAAAATGTTAAAAGAAAAAGATAAATCGCATCGTTGTTGTATTTGCTGATTAATTTATCTCGGAATTAATTCAAAACTGTAATTATCAACGAGTGATTGTGGAGCAAGGACAAATTTTATAGGAGGAGAGTTAAATACGTCACATGGGCGTGTTAATGCTTTTAAATATAGTTATTTAGCTTCTTTTTTATATGGTGATATTCAACTAACGAATTCCGCTCTGGCTATTTTTAGCTCTCTAACGACCAAATAAAAATTAAACGAGTTGATGAATCTATCTTTTAAAGATTTGAGCGGTTTTTGAACAGTTTTTAAGCGATATTATCCTTAATAATTCTAAAATCTTTTTAGAATTAATCCAAAATGATTGATAATTAAAAAAACAGAAAATCTAATCTTAAAAAAACCGTAAAAGTAAACGTGATATATCCGAGGACGTTTAAATATTTTAAGATCTCTGACGTCTTAACAACTATGTAGGTATTTATAGATAAAATCCCTCACTATACCAAAACGATAACTTAAATGTAAACACTTAATAATGTAATTAGATAGGTTTTGCCAAAAATTTCTCTTCAGAAACGATTTTTTATAACAAAAATTTATATTCCTTTTCTTTAACTTTACCTCTATTGTTTTATAATGTTAATTAATTCATACTATAAATATTTATGATTTACCGAACGTGCAGTATTATACATAAAAAATAGACTAGAATAACAAGCCACACGCACATCGTTGATTACTTAAGTGTTAAAAGTTAACTATAGTCCTCACCGTTGACCAGGTTCAAGTACAAACCTTTTCGAATGCCAGTAATAAATTTAGAATATTCTAAAATCCAAAAATATTCCAAAATAATCTTTGATTACTTTACGAAGATATTAAATTTAGCAACATTTTAATAATATTTCAAAATTAAAATTTTGCAAAAACGTAATAAAGATTCCTACATTACCTTCCTATAATAAAATAAATCAAATTATTAATTTAACCTTAATTTAATTAAAAACAACAAATTCTATTATATATTTTTTATCATTTAAAAAATTATTCTTTTTATTATAATAATTAGCAAAATATAAGTAAACATTTTAAATTCCCCGCTTTTCAATTAATATTCTATATTATCGACTTAAACTTGACAGCTCATTCGAAATTTTTTGGTTATTCACAATTGCAAAATGAAATGGAAATTAAGACATTCGTAACGATATTCGAGTGCAGTGAATGTACGAATTTGCATTTTACGTCTGTTTATTGCGATTCCGTATATTTTTATCGTTTTCTTTTAGGATTAGCGAATTATTTCGAGGTTATGTGAATGATAGTCAAGTAGTGATAGCCAGATGCTGAGAGATTTTGCTATTTAATAGTCTGATTAGAAGTAGACGAAAAGGTCAAGATGGGTATCATTATTACAAAGTTTAAGGTACGATTTAAAAAAGATTTTGAGTGAAATGTTTGTGAGCGTTATTTAAGGAAAATGTTGAGCTGTCATTTTGATAGTTGTGATGTGGTTCTTTGTGAATTTTCTAGAAAAAGAAGAGTACTGAGGAGATGTTGGAAAAATTGGAGGATGAGATAAAATGCATTGAAACGTATGGAAAAGATACAGAACAGTCTCAAAGAAAGATTGTCGGAGGATTCCTTTTCACATCAATTATTGTCTACCTTGGAACGGCCTTATTATTTTACTTTTATTTTTTCCCAGCGACGATTTATGATCGAATATTGTACATTGTCCCTTTATTATTGGCTCCAATTATGTAAATAACTTATTTTCATAACAATAACATTTTCATTCATATTAATTTTTTTTGTTGGGTAGGATTGTGTTCTTAAAAATGGGACTTTCTTTCTATTACAATCGTCGAATTACTAAAAATCAGAATAAATTAAGAAAACTTAATGCTGAGAAAAAGAAAATACTTGAAAAAGTCATGGAAACAGAAACTTATAAAGTTGCCAAAAAGATTTTAGAAAAGTATGCGCCTGAACAAGTTCGAAAAAATCCTACAGTGCCTTCTTTGGAAATAACTAGGACACCTTTACAATCTAATGCTTTAACACCAACATCTTCCACAGGTTAAAACCTTATTAATTAAAAAACCCTATTTTAACTGGAATTTTTTAGCTGTAGGTTTGAGACAACGTGTAATTGCACCGAACCCTCAACTACCAAAACCCGCTTCAATGGCAGCCATTTATCAAACTCCACGAATTAACACCATAACACACACCTCCATGATTCAACAAAATCCTGATGGTACCACTTCACAAGCATTGGTGCCTGTTGGGGCTGCTGGTTATCCAATATCGCCGTTACCAAGATCAATACTGCCTAGAGAACGGTCTGTTTTTGATAAAGTGGTTGAGTACTTAGTTGGCGATGGACCCTCAAATCGCTATGCCTTAATATGCAAACAATGTTCTAGTCATAATGGTAATTATTTAACAATAACTTATTTATAAAAATTTTATTTCTTTTATCTTAACCATTTAACTACATTCAGTGGCATAAAAAACGCATCACCTAAAATGATGCATGAAAATGGGGAGACACTTACAAAAATATTGGTAAAAAGTAGATCAGATCTTTCAAATAAAAAATGCCTTATTCAAATGGAGCAATATGTTCTAAAGTTATTGGAGTTTGAATATTTACTTGCTATATACTTGCTCATCATTTTAGGGTGATGCGTTTTTATGTCACTGAGTGTTTATAGATTTAGTTGATAATGCCTTTTACAACCCTATATTCAAAAAGTACTTATTTATTCATTGGAAATACCTAAAATAGTTAACAGTTATCTAGATTAATTTGTAATAACACATTTAAGATAAGTAAAGACAAGTATTTACCAGTTACAGGTAAATAACCATCATTAGGTAAATCTATATGCACTTTATTTGATGCTCCAACATTTATTAGACTTTTTGTTGATGTAAATATTTCAAAAAATATGTTTAATAGGAATGGCTTTAAAAGAAGAATTTGAATATCTTTCATTCAAATGTTGTTACTGTTTTACATTTAACCCGGCGAGAAAGCAACGTCCAGCAGCTCCAAAATTAGAAAGTGAATTACTGCCTCCTTATTCACTAAATGCTTTACCTGCACCCGTTGATACTGATACTTCCGAGTCGGAAAAGAATTCTGCTTCGGGTTCTGAAGATGAACAGGAGAAGAGTATAAAAGATGAAGACGATTCTGGACGTGCCGTTGAGGATGAAGAAATTACAGAAATTAGTGAACCGATTGAAACGGAGGGTGATGAGTCGGAATGGAAAACAGAAACGGAGTCGGTGGTTGCGGAATCATGATGTAAGGTGCTGATGATGCCTACAAAAGAAATAATAATGATAAAATTTTCGTAATGATATATTAATTTTTTTGTGTCCTCTTTTACTTGATAGTACCCCAAATTGTATTTATTAAAGTGGTTAACTAACAAGAAAAAAATCTAAGTCTGTCAATTTTTTAAGATTGTTACTCTTCATTGAGTGTATTAAATTTAGAATTGTTACTAAAGAATCACTTTTTCATTTTCTTTTTAAGTCTATATTTACTATATAGAATCTGTATAGTTTGTAATAGATGTTTCTAATTTTTTTAAAATTAATGTTTTTTTAAATTACTCTTTAAAAAAATGTTTTAAAGATGTAATGTAATTGGAGTGTGTTCAAAGAAAAAGTGATATTGTCTATAATTATTGTACTGCTCTCTTCCCATCTTCCATTGAAATGAAAACGAAATTAATAGTGAAGTAAATGAGAAAAAAGAAAACGTTTTGGTAACGGATTGTGATAATGACAAAAGCTTAAACTGTTTGTTTTTCTACTATACTTATATTAATTGTTAATTTATTCGGAAGTAGGTGCCTTTTTTTCATATATCAATTAATAAAGTGCTTATACGTTATTTTATGTTTTACTTTACATATATATTTAAATTTATTCAATTTCCTTTGATGAATTATATGTTTTAAACATATTATAATAAATAAACAGGTTTATGTATGCTTAACTAAAATAGTACCATAAAAAAAATAAAATCTTGATACCACAAACATAAATTGGGAGCCAAATCAGGGATATTTTCGTTATAAAACTAACTAATAAATTTTTATATGTAATTATATTTAATCCAAAAAATATGAACCCTATCTATACAATAAATTATTCACATTCCATTAAATCATTCGTCTCATTCTCATTTAATTCTTCATTATTACAATTTTTCTGTATTTCAAATCCGGATGGTTGATCTTCAATATTAACTTGATCATTTCTTCCAATATAACTACACTCTCCAACTTTTTCCCTATCATCTGGTTTAGAAACACTTTCTTCTTCAGTATTAGCCTTTGTGAAACACATCTCAGCTTTTTCTTTCATACGCTTTAATTTTTCCCTTCTAATATGTTCGGCTTTCTCTTTATTAAGTCTAATTCTCTCTAATTGGTCCTCTGTTAAATCTTGTGAATTTCCAGCAGCATGTCGCATTTGATTAACTTCAATTTGTAATAGATCGAATTCAGAATTCGCATTCCTTTTATTGGGCTCATCATTATCATCTTCATCACTTAATTCAGGTTTTGAGACACCAAAATCATCCATTCCTAAACGAATTCTTTTCAAATAAGTCTAAAAAATAATACAATTATAATTCAATTCGTTCAAAAACTTTATTAACTTACTTTCATGTTATTTTTAGATCCTAAATTTTCAAGTTTACCCAAACAATCATCAAATGAGTACTTTGGAAATAGTCTATGACACCAATACTCATAAGTTTTCATAATGACTCTTAAATCTTCAGCTTCATGACCATGAGTACCTTTAAGTTTTATATTTTCAAAACAATTTCCTAAACAGCTTAATCCTTTTGGTCCTCTTAATACATCAACATTTAACTTTGGTCTTGGGTTTTTAATAATACGTTTAGGTTTAACAACTCTTTTTTCAGTAGCTTCATCATCATTTTCTTTATTTTCTTCCTCACCTTCATGATCACCTTGCACAGGTCTATCTAATTCAATTTCTTGTTCATCTTCAGAATGAATGCTTTGCTCGCCAGAAGACATTTTTAGTGGATTTTAATAATAAACGATGTAATCAGTATTTTTCCCGCCTTTATTTAGTCACTTTTAAGTTATTATACTTAGACAAAAATGTTACATAAAATTTAAACGCGATTTATATTATACAAGTAAACTATTCTAATTGTTTTGATCGTCTTCCTTGTCGTCGGTGTCGATATGAACTTGAAACCCGTTTTCATTAACTCTTTGTAAGAACGTTTCTAGAAGACGTTTATTTAACCTATCCGTTTGAGTGAGTTCTCGCACGTTTTGAACGGCAACATAACCCTGGTCGTTTTGTGTACACTTTTCCATATCTGATTTTGCAGGTTCAATACTAGGCATCGCCCCTTTGTGATGTTTAAAAGGAAAATTTGTCACTACTATGAATTTTCTGATTATCCTTAAAAATAGGTTAGGTTTGGTTATTTTTTGTTTTAAATGTTGGCTAATTTTACATCATCTTATCATTTTACTTCTTGCAAATAAAGACTATTCATTAATATTTTCTTTTAAAACGGTAAATATATCATTAACGTGAAATAAGAGTTACATAAAAAGTAAATTTATAAAATTATTATTTGATTTTGTTGCGAAAATGTTTTTGAAATCTTTTTAGTTGTGATAGTTGGTAACATTTATTACTGTAGATGTCATTGATGTGTACTGTATTTGAAAATGGCTCATTTCTTCCACAAAAAATGTCAATAAGAAATTTATCGAACTCGATTTAATCCTGTAAAGAATGAAGTGAGTTATTTTTAGAAAACGTTTATTCATAAATAAACTTAATTAGTTTTTATAGTAGAAAAGAAATTCAAGAATCTAAGGATATGGACGTTTCTGAACGCGCAGACAACTTTGTGGAAGGTGTAAAAAATCCGGAAAGAAAAGTGTTGAGACTTAGAGAAAACACTGAAAAATTAGATAATACTAACATGGCAAACAGCATTAAATCGTCAAGGAATTATACATCCACACAAAACGCGACTTATTCTCACCCACTTATGAATTTTTGTACTTCTCCTGTGTCCCCTGATTATCCTGATTTAATACCAGAAAAAGCTAAAAGAAGTTCACATCAAAAGTTTCGTCCTCAAGCTCACAGCTCTGCTAATGATCTGCTTGATGGTGAAGATGAAAACAATTTGGAATATGATAATAATTTAGCAGGTAATTAATTTTTTTAATTATTTTTTATTTTTCATTTAAACTTTATTTTTTGTTTTTAAGAATTTCCATCCAGTCCATCTGAATTAAAAAAGATAATGATTGATATGCCAATAGAAGTGTGTCCTGGCGATATAAGTGATACTGAAAACGATAAGTCTATCTATGAGGCACATTTAAGTTCAAATTTTCAAAATGTTTCTTTAACAATGAATGAGAAAGAAGGTAAAATTTTAAATCACAACTAAAAATTTGCTTGTTAACCGTTATGTTATAGGAAATTTAAACTTTTTGGCTCATGGTAGAAGAAGCAATAAATTGCGAAGAATTAAAGTAGTTCATACTGATATGGACCAGGATAGTGATGTTTCTAGTTTGGATAGCAACTCTGATAGTTTAAAGTCGGAGGATTGTTTCCAAGGAATGATCGATTTGGATGATGATTGTTCAGAAACAGGAGAGAGTAAGCAATTGATATACTTTAACCATACATTGCTGATTAAATAAACATTTAATCAAAGTTTGATTAAAAATTTAAAGCTAATGTATCATCTATGACTTATCGGTCGATATACAGGGTAATTCAAATTCGACCCCACCATTGAGATCTCAGAAACCATAAGAGATACAGAAATGGTTAAATGGGGGCAAAGTTACGTATCTTAGAGCTGATCATTGTTCAACAAAGTTTTTGGATCTACCTGTTTTAGTTTTTAAAATATAGCCAAAAAAGAAAACAATAACTTTTTCGTTTTTTGCCTATAACTTCTTTATTTTTCGTTTTTTCGTGAATCTGAAAAAACATTCTTAAGGCAACTTTTCATGAAAAATGTCATGACACAACTAGAAATTTTCTCCGACGTTTCGTTTTCGTGAAACTATCATCACATAGTTTCACGAAAAATATCAAAAAATAGGATAATTAATTCTGATTTCAATGATATGTCACACAATATATTTTATTTAAAAAAACATTGAATTATTCAAAAAAAAGAATAAACCTGATGATAGTTTCACAAAAACCAAACGTCGGAGAAAATTTGTAGTTGTGTCACGACATTTATCATAAAAAGTTGCCTTAAGAATGTTTTTTCAGATTCATGAAAAAACGAAAAATAATGGAGTTATAGGTAAAAAATGAAAAGGTCATTTTTTTTTGATTTTCGGCCATATTTTAAAAACTAAAACGGAAAGATAGAAAAATTTAGTTGAAAAATGATGACCTCTAAGATACGAAACTTTGCACCCATTTAACCATTTCTGGTTTCTGAGATCCCAATGGTGGGGGTCGAATTTGAATTATCCTGTATATACTCCCTTTCAATTATTGCATTCATGTTTTTACATTGTACTTTACACCATGACATTTTCTTATAAATGATTTAAATCTAATCTAAATGTTTTTTGTATTAATTTGTAAGGAAATGAATCTCCAGAACCAATAGAACCATTAAGTGCAGCTGAAGAACGTAAACACGCAAGGCACTGGCAACGCATGGTTTTACCTGGAGGTGAACAACGCACTATAGATATGCGTGTAATAGAACCATATAAAAGAGTTTTATCCCATGGCGGTTATTTGCGTTCAGGAGGCCATACAGCGATAGTTGTGTTTTCAGCATGTTATTTACCTGATAAATCTCGAATAGACTATGATTATGTTATGGATAATCTGTTTCTTTACGTTCTATGGACGTTAGAGAGACTTGTTACAGAAGATTACGCGTTGATTTATTTACATGGCGCAGCGTCGAAATTACCGTCGTTTTCGTGGTTGAAACGATGCTATCAAATGGTTGGGAGGAAATTGAGGAAGAATCTCGTGCATTTATATATTGTGCATCCGACATTGTGGATTAAAACAATGCTTTTTATGGCAAAACCATTTATAAGGTAAATTTTTTTTTGGTTAATTATGCGAAAGAAAAATTAATGGTTTAATTATCTTTTTTAAGTTCGAAGTTTTATAGAAAAATTACGTTTTCGGCAAGTTTAAGGGAATTGACTGCCAGAGTTCCATTGGAAATGACTGCAATTCCTGAGAAAGTAAAAGCTTACGACAAGCTACATTGTTCTATTTAACCGAATTTCTGTTTAAAAGAAAAATCTAACTTATTAAAGAGAATCTCTAAAAAGGCTACAGGTAATCAGTATTTATTTTTAATTGTACTCATATAACTGTGTTTTTAAGTTACTTGTATCTGGTTATATAAGCAATACTTTAATTTTTGATATTTGAATCTTTACTTAACTGTGATTTTACTCTCATTTGTGTTATACAAAAAGAAGAAAATTCTTTTTAGATATTTACATTAAAAGCTTAATTTAAAACGTACAACAAATAATGCAAAGATATTAATATTAATGTACAAACAAGAAGTTTTAAAAAAATAGGGAGCAATACTTACATCGATCGGTCTTTTTGCCAAAAACAAAGAAGTTTTAAATTTTAATGTAAATATCGTGCTGCTATTTTTTCTTGTTGAAATAAGTAAAGGAAAAAGACATCGAATTATTTGTACGATTTTATACCAAGAAAAAATCGTTTTATTTCCAAAAATAAGTAGTTTATAGCTCTTAAGCAATATCCGTTTGTAAGTAGAATGTGATTAAACAATAACTATTTTTTTGTTATGTGGAATGTGGAAAAGCAATTTTTTCTTAGTGCAGGAATAGCAATATTGTACTTTAGGGGATTTAAGAGTGTGGAAATTATTGAAATTGTGGTAATAAATGTAATGGAAGATTTTGTTGTCTATTTAAAAATCATTATTTGTACCCTGTTTTTTTTTTCATACTTTTTCTAATTCATTTCGAAAAGTCATTAAGTCATTCAAAACATCTCGAAAATCGATCAGTTACATGTGACATATGCAGTAATACCGCTCATAGTCCAAATGCTTGGGTTCACCTTGCTTCAAATTTTGTTCTAAAATATTTTTGTATTGATTTCGCTTCATAATGAGCTCCCCAAACCATGACACTTCCTCCGTTATGCTTTACAGTTAGTAGCAAATTTTCACCATCACTTAATGGGAAATAAAACCCTAGACCAGACATCTATACCCTTGTCAACATGAGAATGAGCAAACTTTAGTCGAAGTCGGCGATTGGTTCTTGAAATTAGTGACTTTTTTCGATGTGTCTTTATGAAAAGTCCATTATCACGTAGAACTCTTGCGAAAACGACAAACGCGAATATTTCACTTATTACCAAAGATGAAGTATTATAATTAAAGCATTGTATGGGCAACGTTTTACGAAGAATGCAGTGGCGTAGGTAACTTTATTTTTTTAAATACAAACCATAGCTGGGTATGGCCTAAAATAATTCGTTATTTTTTTTTTGATACTACTTAAATGTTGGATAATTATGATGGAAAAAAAGGTTTTTAAGTTGATGCATATAATTTATTTTGCCTGTTCTACACAATTCCAGCAAAATATCAAAGAATGTGTTTTAACATAGTAAGATTAAAAAAAAATGAGCAATTTCAGAAAAGAAAAGTTGAGTCAGGTTAGTTTTGTTTACAAATGTCAATCAACTGTAATAAAAATATTGAGTAGTCAGTTTTCCTTTGAAACCCCACAATTATAGCGTGAAGGAATGTTGGGATAGGTCAGTTTTCTTTTGAAACTCCAATTATACGGTGAAAAAACACCAATTATACCGTGAAGGAATGTTATGATGGGTCAGTTCTCTTTTGAACCCCTATTACAGCGTGAAGGAATGTCGGTTTTCTTTTGTACCTCAATTATAGCGTGAAGAAACCTTAATTAAAGCGTGAAGGAATGTTAAGACAGGTAGTCTTCTTTTGAAACCCCATTAAAGCGTGAAGGAATGTTAAGACAGGTAGCTTTCTTTTGAAACCCCATTAAAGGGTGAAGGAGTGTTGGTTTTCTTTTGTCCCAATTATAGCATGAAGACACCCTAATTAAAGCGTGAAGGAATGTTAAGACAGGTAGTTTTCTTTTGAAACCGCATTAAAGCGTGAATTAATGTTAAGACAAGTAGTTTTCTTTTGAAGCCCTAATTACAACGTGAAGGAATGTCGGTTTTCTTTTGTACCGCAATGATAGCGAGAAGAAACCCTAATTAAAGCGTGAAGGAATATTACGATAGGTCAGTTTTCTTTTGAATCTCAATTACAGGGTGAAGGAAAGTCGGTTTTCTTTTGTACCCAAATTATAGCGTGAAGAAACCCTAATTAAAGCGTGAAGGAATGTTAAGATAGGTAGTTTTCTTTTGAAATCCCATTAAAGTGTGAAGGAATGTTAAGACAGGTACTTTTCTTTTGAAACCCCATTAAACCGCGAAGGAATGTTAAGACAGGTAGTTTTCTTTTGAAGTCCCAATTATAGCGTAAAGAAATGTTAGAATAGATTGGTNCGCGAGTAAACACGACAACAAAGTTGTCATTTAATGACGTTTGAAGAAAAAAGGTTTTTAAGTTGATGCATATAATTTATTTTGCCTGTTCTACACAATTCCATCAAAATATCAAAGAATGTGTTTTAACATAGTAAGATTTAAAAAAATGAGCAATTCCAGAAAAGAAAAGTTGAGTCAGGTTAGTTTTGTTTACAAATATCAACCAACTGTGAAAAAAATATTGAGTAGTCAGTTTTCCTTTGAAACCCCACAATTATAGCGTGAAGGAATGTTGGGATAGGTCAGTTTTCTTTTGAAACCCAATTATACGGTGAAAAAACACCAATTATACCGTGAAGGAATGTTAGGATGGGTCAGTTCTCTTTTGAACCCCTATTACAGCGTGAAGGAATGTCGGTTTTCTTTTTTACCGCAATGATAGCGTGAAGAAACCCTAATTAAAGCGTGAAGGAATATTACGATAGGTCAGTTTTCTTTTGAACCTCAATTACAGGGCGAAGAAATGTCGGTTTTCTTTTGTACCCCAATTATAGCGTGAAGAAACCCTAATTAAAGCGTGAAAGAATGTTAAGACAGGTAGTTTTCTTTTGAAATCCCATTAAAGTGTGAAGGAATGTTAAGACAGGTACTTTTCTTTTGAAACCCCATTAAACCGCGAAGGAATGTTAAGACAGGTAGTTTTCTTTTGAAGTCCCAATTATAGCGGAAAGGAATGTTAGAATAGATTGGTTTTCTTTTGAAACCCCGAATTATAGCACGAAGGAATGTTAGGATAGGTCAGTTTTCTTTTGAAACCCCAATTATACCGTGAAGGAATATTAGGAATGTCAGTTTTCTTTCCGCCTGTCAATCATCCCGGAAAACAATGTTTGGTAAGGTTAATTTTTCATTATTTTCGAAATTCATTGTAAAGTTTTATTCAGTTTTGTTATACGTGAGATTATAAAGCGCGGGTGCTTGCCAGCCGCGAGTTGTGGAAGTAGCTACTGTCAGCCATCAATCAGCTTGGTGTGAGCATAAAATTCTTCGACAATTAAGTATTTGTCAGCGGTTGGTGAAATTGGACAAGTTCTACTTTGATAGGCAGGCAGCAGCAACTAGCAGGTCACGTGAATTTCTAGCACCCGCTAACATCAGCGAGCAGCGCAGTCTGACCACTCAAGCAGCGCATCAGCGGCGAGTAAACCAGCACGTGCCACGTGGTCCTTTGTTTATGTTCGATATCAGTTCTGTCAACCCACCCTTAATAACTGCTTAATTAATTGTTTACATAGACCCACAGACGACATGGTTGTTGAAAGCGACTAAACGAAATGGCGAGTAGTAGCAGGCAGTGTGACCGGGTTGCCCACCGCTGCTTGTTGGTGCTTGTGTCCGCCGCTGACCAGCAACTCTGACAAACAGCCTAGTATGACCCGCGCTTAAGTAAAATATTTGCGGTTGTCGTTTTCGTAAATTTTTCAGTTTTTGCCGATAGGGTGAAAACAAAAGACGATAGCTGTCCGAAGAGATAGCAACGAATTTGGGACGCCTGTACAGACTTTTTATACATAATCGCGACGTGGTCGACTAATTTTGGCGCACTAATTCTAGGGTTTTTGCTTACTTTTAATAACATCTCTTCTAGACAGTTTCTTTGGCTGACCTGTACGCACTTAACAGTCGAAGGAATCAGTCTCATTGTAATTTTTGATAATGTTCCGTTGCTCAGCTTAGATATACAATTTTTCCGTAAGATTTCTTTTCTTGATGACACTTTTCAATATCTTAGTACATCTTGTTTTAGCCAACTTTTTTATAAATAAGAAGCATTAACAAGCCGTATCATACAAGAAAATATTGTATTAATATATTTCGGGTTAGGATTAAATAAATGAAACAAAACGAAATAATTTTTGCATCGCTTTCTTTTTCACACATTCGTCCGTACACATCGTTCGGATTCGCTTTTACAACAGCATGACATGAAAGGGAGGAAAACTTACGTGGGGGTGAAGTGAAACTTAAAAAAAAATGTTAACTACTTATTCACTATTATACATACAACATACTGCGCGAATACATTGGTTTTGGTTTCTTCAGCGCTTTTTGCTTGTTATTTTCGGATTATCGTTCGGGTAATGCTTCTAACGCCAAATTGGGCTAAAACGGTGCGTGATTTTTTTTCTGTTTCACCGTTAGAAGAATGAAACGAACGAGTAGGGACAGAACCGTAACAATAATAATTAATAACATTTATTATCATTATTATTATATCGCTCAACTAACAATGGTTTATTTTTTTTTCTATTTTAATATACGAATCCAAAAATTACTTTCTCCGTAATATAATTTTATTATATTTTATCATATAGTATTTATTATAAAAAGCAACTTGATATATTCTCCACTCTTCCTTCACTTTTATTTTTATTATGTTTTAAACTCTTTCTCAATATCGAGTTTTTGTTTGATATATGGGATATGTGCCATGTTGAAAGATGATTTCTATATTGTTGATCTATGGTGAATAATAGTACATAATTATTTCTTTTTTTGTTTCGTCAGAGAAATCAACTCCCGATGACTACATGTGATGCGAATAACGATTATATTGCGATTCGGATACTGTGTGTGTGTTTGTGTTTCTGTGTGTTTTTTTCTGTTATGTGATGTGTTGTACGTTGTGATTTTATTCATTAATGTTTTGATAGCTCGCCATCCATTCAAACGTATATTTATTGTGCACACTTGTATTTTTATTTTCCTCTTAAATTTATTTTTTTAATATTCGCTAATCGTTAAGAGTAAATAGTAATCGTAAACAGTTTAAGTACATAAATACACACAGAATGAGTAGAGCACTCGGTACAATTACATATGTAGTCGTTAGGAGGGTACCATACAATTCGATTATTTTTTCACCAGTAGTAACTTAGCTGTTTTGAAATAGTTCATTTTCTTTTGGGAGTTGAACGACTTTTATTAGTTTTATAACAAATATATTTTCAAGTTTTCAAATATCTATTGAAATATAGACGGTTTTTTTCATATTTTGAGTTTAACGAGTTACTAGAGGAGAAAAATGAGGTGCTTTATATTGGTTAAAACCAATTTTTCTTTTAAACTACAAGCGGAAAAGACATTTTTTCTTTTAAAATCTTTACTGTATAGGATTTTTAATTTCCTTTAAGAAACCGTAATGGTACATCGTCTTTTCTGCGCACGTTTGGTCTCTTTACCATATACATAGAAAGGTTTTCATACGTTATTTATTTTTTTGTTTAATAATATTGTTTTGTTTGTTCTCCCAAAAAGAGTAAAAGAAAAATAAACTAGTAACATCCGTTGGGGCGCTTCTTTGCACCACCGATGGCGTTAAACACGTAATAATGGCACGAGATTGGCAGTGTTGCTCGGCCGTTTTTAATGATATGATTTTTTTTTATTTTGATGAATGTACAAATGCGAAAACTCAGCGACTTTATGCGCGTTATTCAACAATTTAAAATTAAAACGAAAATTTCGTGCTAGTCGGGGGAGTTTCGTCAGGGGGCGGTTTTGTGCGCATATCCTTAGGGGTGGACGCCTGGAAGAATTTTATCATTTTCCTTGTCGCCCGCTGACTTATTCCTCTCGATTAATTCTCTTATTTTCACGCAAATAACGAAGTTTTTTACAATACTGTACATTTACCTAAACATATTGTACCTTGTCGGCCAATGTTTTTACTTATTAATAGTATGACTGATGCAAGATCTATATTTTTTGCTAGTTTAATGTTTAAATGCTCTTCTAAGCTATGTTTTTTGCCCATCTATGTTTTTTGCTTTACTTACGCACGCGTATGTGTATTTTTGAAGATGATGATGGTGAATTAAATACATACAAGATAATTGTGAGACTTAAAATTATCTGTACACAATTAATTATCCGATATTAACTATGAACATAAAGAAGTAACGAGATTTTAAAATAATATCGTTAATATTTTTAACTATAATAATTCACCTTTTAAATAGGACGAACGTATACTATCATAATTGTTTTATAATAAAAGCTACAATTATTACTTTTTATCTCCTTATTGGATAATAATACAATTATATTACAGAATACGAATGTCTGAGCACTGAAGGTAATAAAATTACAACAACCACACGACGTCATTTAATTGAAGTAAAGGATTTCTTTTTTTGACTTCAGTGCTGACACTTAATATTAACTCGAACGAGGAGAATACATAGATTTTGATGCACCACTCTGCCTCATTCCCCCAATTATTGTCATGTCTTCTTCTTAAACTACAAAATTCGCCCGAAAACGTTTTAATCATCCCTGGAAATTATTTTTGCCATTTCACATGACATTGTGTCACGTTTCCAACTTTCCATTAACTGAGTTGTTATCGTTGTCAATTTCGTCTAAATTTTCAAAAGAGGAACTATCTTCTATTAAAGAAACACTTAGCTCATTCTGAAGAGAAAAAAAAGAAATCTTAAATTAAATAAAAAAGATTGTTAGTATTACAGACCATTTGTACTAGCCGATTTATTTGGAAAACTGTAGTCAACTAATCTCTCGCATTATTACTTTAACATGGGCACATCTTTTATGAATTGTCCTACAAGGTTTGCATACATTTTATTAAAAATCTTGTAGGAAATGTAAGTAAATGAGGATGGCAATCAAAATTGGTTTATGGTATTGACACTATTATTAATTTACAAGTTCCATGTGTAAAAACACTAAACATGAAGGCAGTAATTAACACTGCTATAGTTATAAGTTTTGAACTTTTGATGATAATTCACCCCATGTTAATTATCAGTACCAGTTCTAACCGTTATCATTCTGGTATTCGCCCGTTTCCAAATAAATCTTGTGGTCTGACATACTCTATGCAATTGAGAAGTTTTGGAATGGCCCGACATTGAAACGAAAAGTATTCAGTTTAATACTAGTGGAAATTAAATGAGCGGCATTTGACTATTTAGAGTAACTTTTCTTTTCAAGGTCGTTTAAAATTCATAATTATAAAAATAATAAATACTAATTATTTATAACAACCTCTTGTTTGAGTCTATCCACTAATCTTCGTCTATCTAATTTTAATCGATCCACTTCATCTGATTGTTTTGCATTTCTTATTCCTGACATTTCCAAAAGAGCCAAATGAGCGTCTTTCTCACTAATGGCGGCTTCAAGAGCTTCTCTTCTGCAAATGAAATTGTATGCTCGCTCAGTATTGTGTTTTTTACTTGAAATAATATACTTACTTCATATGTGCCAATTCTTGTAAATTATCTTTCCTTTCAGAAACTAATTTACTCAATTTACTTTCTAAACTGTGCATTCTCAAAACAATAGGTCGACACGAGTGACATTTAACAGCTTGAGCTGCTTGCAAAGAAAGTAATCTTTGCTCCAACTTATGAACTTTTTCCAAAATCCTTTTCCTTCGATTCTCTTCTTGATGTAAAACGTTTTCACGTTCAGTACATATCTTAAGACTCTCTCGAACAGCTTCTTCCAGTTCGCGTATGCGCACGTCTTTGACATTAATCACGCATAAAAGATCGTTTATATCTTGAATATCATCTTTGTTATCATCATTTTTCAAAAATGATTCTAGTTTTTTATTTAGTTCTTCAATTATCATGTTCTTTTGGTCTAAATCGCATTCCAGTTGTGTCAACGCATCAATATGAACTGTGTTGCTTTCCATCTCGATTAAAATTTCATTCTTTCTCCGTAATTTGTCTTCTAGAATGTTCATTTCATTTTTGTTGTCTTTCAACATTTGTCCGTACGATTCCAGTCGGCATTCCAGGTCGACAATATACTCACGTTTATCTCGTGGCGTTTCGTCATCATTACAAGGTTCCATCTGATTAATACATAAAAAGGGGCACACGGTATAACAATATAACAACAACGTGTAAGACGGCAAATACAAAAGAAGCTACCACAAATGGTGTTACATTAAAAAGGAATGAGGCAGTTGAGTAATGGGGATATTAAATGATTTGAAAGATGTTTTTGGTGATGGTGCTTCGATTGGGTTTGAATAGGTTTAGAAGAAGCTTTTTAGGAAACCAGCAGGTCCGGCCTATACATACGATTTTCCACGAAAGTTGATAAAAAATTGAACGGTATATTAATTTTTTGGTTAAATTATTTAATAGGTTAATTTTTACCTCTTCTTTCTTTCTTTGCTCTTCTAATTGTTGCTGGACTTGTTGTTGAGACTTCAATTTAGCCTGTGCGTTCTTTAGTGCCCTAATAAAGAAATTGCATTAGAATAATAAGTACGATTTTAGACAAAAAAAACTTACTGTTGTAACTCCATAATAGTTTTTTCTTTAGCATTCTGCTCTTCTTGACTCATTTGTACTAATTGGAGTAATCGTTCCATTTCAGCTGTTAATCTCTTAACTTCTTCGTCTGCCTTTTTGTATTTTTCTTCTGTTTCTACAAGTTTTTTCTGTAATTCTCCTGCCGCTGCTGCGCTTCCTCCGGCCTAAATTACAAATTATAATTTATTTTAAAACTTTTTGAAAGATTTATTTACCTTCTGCAAAGAACTTTCTAACTGATCCATTTGTTCTTTCCGCTTTTTCAATTGCTTATCTACGTTATTTAATTCCTTCTCTTTTTCAATGAGTTGTTTCTGTTTACTATCAATGGCTCTCTTTTGTTCATCAACTTGTCTTCTGTATTCTTCGAATTGTCGTTTTTGTTCTTCGAGTTGTTTTCGTTCGCCCGAATAATCTTCGGATGGTTTTTGAGGAGCCATTTGGAGTTTCTTTGTTGTCTCGTGTAGCTCAAGCTGATATAAATATATATATAAGTCATATAATTTGCTTTTAACGCAGATAAGAATAAGAAAAAAATAACTAAGTGTAAACAAATATTTAAATAGAATGACTATGATACGATAGGAAATTAGGTTGGTATTAGTAGGAATTTAAACGTTTTAAAATAAAAATACAAATCATAAAATATTTTTGCTTGTCTTTTTTAAATATCAATTTTTCTACTAAAATAATTATATTTCTCACCTGATTCCTCTCTAATTCTTGCACCAACATCTCCAATTGAGATTGTAACCTTTCTTTTTCCGTGTGACTATTTTTCAAATCCTGCTGTGCTTTTTCTAATTCTTTTCTCATCCTAGCACTCTCTTTATCATCTTGAGGCGGATGAATACCAGAAGCTTTTTGATACTGTGCCATTTGTTGAAGTTGTTGTTGTAACTGTTTCTCCATAATCTGTATTCGTTTTTGCAAATCTTGAGCCGCCTTTTCGGCCATATCTGCTCTCTGAGTTTCGCTCTCGACTACTTTTCTCCACTGTTCTAATTCACTATCACCGCGCGCACCTGTTTCTTGAAGTCTTTTTTCGGCTTTATCTGCCCTAGCTCTATGAGCATCTCTTTCTTTCTGAATAGACGTCAACTGCTGTTGAAGTTTGGTTATTTCCCTATCTCGGCTATCTAAAATATCTTTCGTTCCCCTCTCAACGTCTTGTGTCATTCGTTTTTGTTCCATTTTCAAACGATTGACTTCCGCTCTTTGTTTTTCGAGTTCCGCTTCGCTCTGGTTCAATTCCTGTTGGAAGTTCATTAACATGTCCTGAGATTTTTCAAGTTGATTTACCAATTGATCCCTTTCCATGGTTAATTGTTTTATATCGGCTTCGTACTTAATAATTTGTTTTTCTATAGAATCACCTTGTCTACCTTGTTTATCTAAAAGAGCTGCCATTTTTTCTCTTTCCCTTGATGCTTGGGCTAATTCCTGTTGTAATTTAACGATCGTTTCCTGAGTCCTGTGGTCTATTGTTCTTCGTTGCGTGTCCATTCCGGATTTGACCTGTTGAACTTCCGCGCGAAGGACGTCTCGTTCTTGCTCCAACGTTTTCCACTCTATCTTTTCCCTTTCGATTCTTTCGTGCATACGAGACAATTCCGTTGCCATTCTTTCAAATTCTATTTTAGTCGCTTCGTTCGTTTCCAGTGCCTTGGCTAAGTGCATTTGTGACTTTTCTAATTCTTGTGCGAGCCTTCCAGCTTCTAATTCGGTCGCGTCTCTCGCCAAAAGCGCCTTTTCAAGTTTCTCCTTTAACTTCTCCATTTCGAGTCTTTCTTCCGACCTTAATTTATCAGCCGCTAATGTTTGTCTTCGATCCGTTTGAGCTACTTCCAGACGAAGCTTTTCATTTTCTTTCTCGATCTTTTCAGTTTGCATCTTAAGTTTTTCGTATCGATCTCTAAGTTTTTCGCAGTCTATAACTGCTTTTTCGAGTTCGTGACGTTGCTTATCCTGATTACCGGAAAGTTTGTTTACTTCAGATCTGGCAAGGTCTAATTGCATGTTTACTTCATGTAGTTTGGTTTCCAACTGTTGGTTGGTGTTTACTGTTCTTTGCAATTCATCGCGGAGTCGTTCGTTTTCGACTCCTCGTTCTTTTTCTTGTTCGTATTGATATTTAGTTCTTGTGGATTCGGCGAGGGCCAAATCTTTTCTAGATCGATCAAGTTCCGTTAATGTTTTATCTAGTCTCTCTCTTAATCTATCCACCTCGGCTCTTAATCTGTCATTTTCATCTTTAGTTCGATCTTCTCGATCGTATTTACTGTATCTTGCCGGTGTGGTTGTTTCTCTTAAAGCGTCGTATTCGCCAACGACTTTTCTAAACTCATTTTGTAAGCAATCGTGTTTATCCTGAACTTTAACCAATTCCAATTTCAACCGTGACAATTCCTCTTGGGCTTTTTCGTAACTCGCCTGAGATTTAGTCGCTTGTGCGTGAGATCTTTCCACTTCGTACTGAAGACGTTCGTTGTCCGATTGTAGTTTATCCTTTTCACTTTGAATTCTGCGGACTTCCATTTGAGCTTTTTCATATCGTTCTCTCGCCATTTCTATATCTAAACCAACCCTTCCTAGTTCTTCCTTTGATTTTTCTTCCATTTCTTTCGCTCTGTTTAATTGCATTGATACCCTATCGTACATTTCTTGCATACGCTGAAGTTCATCTTGAAGTTTACGTTGGTCGTCTCGGGCTTTCGTTGATGCTATTTGTTGTTTCTCAATTTCAAGTTCTAAACGATCTTTATCTGCCTGGATTGCGTCGATCTTGTTTTGAAGTCGATATACGTCGCTTTGAGACCTAAATAATCCAAGAAAAATAAATTAATTTCATTTTGATTATAGTTCCTTAAAATTTTAGTTTTAAGATTTTACCTATCGTATTTTTCCAAAATTTTTTCAAATTCTTTGTTGACTGTTTCCCTTTCATCGATAGCTTTTTGAGAAGCATATATCGTTTTGTCAAGTTTTTCTTTTAGAATGTCTATTTCAGCTATGGCATCGTCTCTTTCAATTTGGATCTTCTGCTGGAGAAGGTGTGTTTTGTCCCATCTCTCCTTCATCAAATCGAGTTCCGTTTCGATGTCGGAACGTTCCCTTTGAACTTTAGCTATCTGGTTCAGCTGCATCTCTAATCTTTCTTTCAGCTTTTCGACTTCCTCTAATACGGTTTCTTTTTCTTTTTGTAAACGAGATATTGAGATCTAAAATAGATACATTTTAGTTTAGGTGATTAGAACATTTAAAAAGGTTTGATTAAGTTACTTACTTGAGATTTCTCGTATTTATCTCTAAGCCGATCTGCTTCTAGCTGGATAGAATCCTTTTCCTTCTGTATACGAGCAGATTGGCCTAGAGCCTTGTCCAATTGCGATTGGACATTCTCGAAATCGTACCCTTGTTTTTCTTTTTCGAGTTGCACCTATTAATAAACGTTTTTAAAATTGAAGATTTGTGCTAAAAGTGAAACTTACTCGTCTGGTCTCTCCTATAGCTTTGTCCAATTTCTCCTGTAATTTGTCGACCTCCGTCTGCGCCTTGTCTAGAGCGTTTTGTAATTTGTCCTGTTGAAGTTGCGCCTTGCCCAAGGTCGCTTGCGAGCGCTCTAGTTCTTCGCGCGCCTTCTCCAGCTCCATAGCTGAACGATCTTTGTCTGCGTGTAAACGGGCCATGTTGGACTGAGCCCTCTCCAATTCCTCCCGTAAGCTGTTCTGTTCTTGATGGGAGTTTTCTAAGCGAGCCTTGAGGCGGTACACTTCCCCCTGGGACTTTTCGAGCTTCTCCTGCAGTGCCGTTGCTTCCGATTTGGCCCTTTCGTTATCGGCCTGTGTTACCCTCAGCTCTGCCTGGCAACGTCTCAGGTCTGCCGAGGTTTTATCTGTTCTATCAAAGTCGAAATCCTGTTGGGATCTTCCAAGAGAATGGGCCCTTGTAAACGACGTCGTTTGCGACCTATCTAATTCCTGTTTCAACCTTTCGTTTTCTAACTCGAGGCGAGCCAGTTTTTGTCTTGCCTGGTCCCAATCGGCTCCGCTTCTTCCCACTTCTATCGTTGCTTTATCCAATTCCGCTTTACTCTTACCCAATTCAGATTGCGAACTTTCCAATTTCGCCTCCAATCTATCACGATCAGTTTGAGCTCTTTCCAAACGAACAGTTAACTTTTCTACTTCACTATTTAAGGCGTGCAGCTTCATCTTGTACTCGGCCAATTCCCTTTCGTGCAGCTCCCTTTCTTCTGCCTTTTCTTGTTCCGCCCGATCGCGTTGTTCACGCAACTGATTCATTTGTTTTTCTTTGTCCCCGATGGCCTCTTCCAGTGACGATAAGGCGCCCTCGGATGAGCAGTGATGCGCTTGCATGGCGTTGAGACGAGCACGCGCCATGTCCACCTGGTTATCTTTCTCTTTCAGTAAGTCTTCAAGATTTTCTATCTGTTGAATGATGTGACTGAATCTCAATACTACAACTAACGGAGCGCGACAAAAACATGCCTACTTCTTTTGACACTTCTTAATCACTGACACCACCAGATTAATAACGAAGCAACAATAAAATAATTGGATCGTAACTTATACTATTCGTGAAGAATTTATTAAAATTATCAAATTGTAGAAAATACAGTAAGATTAAGATTGAAATGTTTTAAAAGAAGAATAGTTAATGTTAATTAGAAATTGAAGTAAAATATTGGATTAGTTTTTGTCAGTTGTCTTTGAAGCATGCCTTTGTTGCTTTTGCTACTTACTAAACTAGACATGTATCTAAATGATAATCAATTGTGAAATATGATGAGTAGTAGTAATCTTATAATTATAAACGTTCATATTTTTCTAATAACAACATCAACAAACATCAATATTGTATGGTTAGAAAAGGTTACCTTTCTTTGTAACACGTTGATTTTTCGATCTTTAATGTCCATATGCTCTCTCATTTCCGCTAATTCGGCTCCGGCCCTCGCCCTCTCCTGTTGATGTTGTTGCTGCTTCTTCTCTATCTGTCGGTTCTTTTCCTCTAACCTCTGCCTGAGTTCCTCGACGTCCGCCTGCAGCATGTTGTAGTGTTCCTCTTTAGCACAGAGCGACTCCTTCAGAACGCCGATATGCCGCTGGTAGTCCTGGTGCTGTTCCTCGAGCGTTTTCATCTTGGCACCCATCGCTAGGATCTCCTGGTCGCGCCTCTGGATCTCCATGCGAAACTCGTCGAGCTGTACCAAAGTAGACCAATTGCATGCACTATCCATGCGGGGAGATACGTGCGTGCCAAGAGACAATGAGGTGGTAAAAGTACGCTCAGAATCGTCATCGGCACTCGCCCGTTCGAACGCGACGCGATTTGATACGGCAAAGGGTGGCTGTAGTAGTACTAGTAGTAGTTGTAGTAGTAGTAGTAGAGGTAGAAGTAGAAGTAGTAGTAGTAGGAGGAGAAACTGTACTTGTACTTGTCGTTGTCGTAGCGTTGGTCGCGTTAGAGTCTTTACAACTAGTTACAGTCTACCGATAACGGTGCCGTCTTTCCCGACTTGGACATCGTTCAACAGAAAACTTACTTGTCGCTTGAACGGGGTGGGTGGCGGCAAGGAACCGCCCCCGAAGAAGCCGCCGCCGCCGGGCATCGGCTGCGTCACGATTACTTGACTGGCCCCGACGATTTGGTCTCCGAGCGCACGGTCCAGCTCGCTCTCCAGTAAATTCACTTCGCGCTCGAGTGTCGCGATTCGAGCGTCCTTCGTATCTAGCAGGACCTTTATTGTGCTACTGGAGGGCGAGGGGACCAGCTCCAATTGCGTTTGCAGGGTACGCAACGTGTCGTTGGCCGCGCGCAGCTCCTGCAGACAACCAAAAGAAAACCAGGTATGCCCCCATAACTATACACGTCGACCTATTAATTTTTTTTTAATTTGTTCGTTATTTCGATTCGAGTCGTTTCATTCGGCTTCGGATTTTCGTTTCGATTTGATTCCCTTCGCCCAACCGATTTTCGTTTCGGCTTTGCTTTTACCACGCTCTCTGTCCCTCACAGGCACCAAAACGCAACAATTGTCAACAAGCACACGCAAACTATCACGACCACGAGACTCGACGTTATCTACCGTGCACACACCTATTTAGGTTAGTTAGGTTTGTGAAGTGATTGACTTTGGTTCATGCGATACATACATCTTAAATGAATGCCACTTTCGGGTTTCAAAGCTACTATTAACCTCAAGAAGATATAATTTAAATCCTTCAAGTAATTGATTTAGTACCGTTTTGTATCAAAACTGAAAATATCAGCAATCTATAATAAATGAATTACAAATATATAGTTATGGGATTCAAAAAATATCTTCGTGGAATGAATTTGAAATGTTGCAACTTTTAACCTAAAAAGGTTATTGAAGGGTGTAGTGAAACCCGAAAGTATTTTCTTTCATTTTAGATAACACCAGCCGTGAAAGCTTACGTACTTACAATAACATACGTTTTTATTTTAATTTAATGAAATCGCGTTTCAACCAAAACATATCATCGCAATTCAAATCAACTAAGATGATTAAGAAAATTGGTAACCTTCAACCTTCTACAACGACTACTATACTCGATGAAAATTGCGATGATAAAGGAAAAATAGAATACATTTCAAGAAAACCCTTTTAAACATGTTCTACTTTTCCAACATGACGAATGTGTATTAATAAGTAATAACTACGATTGAATAGCGTTGAGCAAAATATCCCGAAATGAGTATATAAATCAGTTTGGCGGGAATTTCGCGCAACGTTACCCCTCGGACGTCCGGAGAAAGTGTCCTAAGGACTTGTTACGGCTCCGCACGTAACGATAAGCACCTGTTTTTGAGCCATCGCTTGCATTTGTTGGAACATCTGTCTCTCTTCCTCTTTACCTGGAACAAAGCCAACACCACCGGCATTAGTCGTCGTTCTTTAAAGTCCGGCTCAAACACCGAAAGTCTACGGGCTCCTCTAAAAGTCGTAGGCTCATTCCTCATTTCAAACACTAAGTATGCATTTAAAAAATAATAAATAAAATGGCATGTGTGTAAGAGCGAAAACGCACTGTAACTGTATGTAAGACTCTTTCTTTTTGTAATACAATAACCTGCTACTCTGCCTCGTTTCTTTTCTCTTTTATATATTATTTCAACGATGGTGATCGTATAACATAATGTCCGATTGTAGTGAAAAAGATGTGGGGAGAGCGCGACGGCGTACATCGCAGTGCTGGAGGGAATAATAAGGGGAAAACGCTAAGCGTGAATTGTCAAGGGGGCACAATGAGAGACGGCTAAGAGCGATAGCACTCACCCATCCCCTTGTTCTGCAACATTTCCAGTAGCTTTTTGATGCTCTCATCGCGCGCCTGCAACGTTTGTTTTTGCGTTTCAATACGCAATTCCAATTCCTAAAAATTACAAGATTATTAAAAAACATATCATTATAATAACACAAAAAAGTAACAAAACAACAAACATTCAAATTTTACTTACTTTTATTGTATCCCTGAGTATTGCTATTTCTCGCGTCAAGTGTTCATTCTCTTGGTATAAAACTTCCATTTGTTGTTGAACTTCAATACTGGGACCACGAACTCGCATTCTTAATTCTTCTTCTAAATTTCTTACTAATAATGCTTGCCTCTGTAACAATTATAATAAGAGATCATTAACTACGGAAAATTATTAATTAAATTAGAAATAATATTGAAATAATATTTGCAACAAAAATTATTCATGAAAATGGATTGCAACTTTCACTTCTATTTGTTTTTTATTTAGTTCAAAAGATATCGAAAGGAAGGCTAAGGTCCGCTTTTACGTATTTCCGCCGGGACTCGATGTTGGGAGGGGGTAAATAGTACAGAGACATTCATAAATATCTCACGACGAATATAAGTGGATCCCTACTTTCTTTTTTAATGTACCACTTTCGTATTATTATACTCATATCGTTGAACACAAATTTGGCGCGAAAACGGGTTACATCAAGTTCTTAATATTCACCTAAACTGTAATATACTATAGCGGGAGTAGGAGCGTCTGGCCGAAACAGAACGCTATAACGGCATGAATATTTTAGTACTGCTTTTAAATGTCTCTATTAGCAGAAGCGGATAGCAAAGAACCAATTTCTGTTAGTGAACTTAGTTTACTGTTTCCAGATCCAAAACCATGTGAACCCAATTATGATTTAACCTAATTTAACTCGACCCAATTGTTAATAATAGCAAAAACATAGATCGTTAAAATCTTCGATTTTTGTCATGAAAATTAGATTTTTCTCAAAATGTTGAATATTAAGTTCGTATTAGTTTTGATTCTATCTTTAAGAAGGTAACGTTTAGATCAAATTAATCCTCTAAAAGAAGTTTTTTATTATTAGGGTTTCATATCTTTAAAGTTTATCATTTTCGACTGTTCATAATCAGGCACTTATACTTAAATAGATGAGTCGTCAGTTCCCTTCTGAGTATCCAGATTGCGGTTTGAAGTAGCATATCACGTTATTTTCATCATACGAGGAAACGTAATCCAAGTAGAACAATCATTTCGATGAATGTGCGCCGAATGTAAAATCTTAATACAACAAAAAAAAATTTAATGGGTAGCTCAAGATCTAAAGAAGATCTGTCATATGACCCGGGAATCGAGGATTTCATCTAGGTTTAAAATAAATAAAATTATTTTAGTGTAAAGTAAGCTCAAAACTTTAAACACTTTTTACTCGGAAAAAATGCTTTCAAAATCGGTGCCAGAAATATCTCCTTAACTATTGGACCGAACGGAACAAGTTTGCACAGTTATGCTTCACACAATAAGTTATTGAGCTTATTCGTTTCTGAGAACAAATGGTTTAGAATAGTACTTATAAGCAATTTTTAGTATTACAGTACTTTTTCACTGTTTATTGAAGCTTTGCGGTACATAGAAGAGAAGTCCTACAGCCTTGATTGCTTTTGAAGCATAACTTATTAATATAACATTTTCTTCAAAACCAAAAATAGACAAATCAGTCTAGGTTTAGAAGCAAGGAAGGAATCCCTATTTATTTTAAGATGCTAATATACGTAAGACTTTTCTCTTCATGAAATCTTTAATAAATTCAATAGAAAAGAACCATGTATCCAGATATTGATTGATTTTGTTCACGTAAAAACCTTGGGCTAGTTATGACAATTTTAGGTTGCTTGTAAATAACATGTTCTCTATTCGTCATAAATATATCCTATATAAATATATAGTTTGGACATTATATGAAGTAATAACATTAAGTGTCAATACAATAACCATCGTAACTTTAAATTTTATCCCTATATGTTCAGATAGTAGTATAAAATATACATCAAATACATCTCCCTGTCGATGACGTCAAATTACCTTCTCCCCCACCTTTTTCCATTATTCCAGATTTAGAACGTACTATTCTTACTATAAGATGAGCCAAAATCACTTTCACATTTCTTTTTTAAGTACATTGCATAAAAATTCTCTGCTACATTTAAACAATACTAACACTTTATATGTGTTTAATTAAGTACTTATTTATTTTGATGAAGCAAACGAGAAATGACACCGGTCGTTTCACTCCTGATCAATATTTCGCTTGTAAAGTAGGTCACGGTAGAGTGTTGCCGACGTCGTCGTCCCATCAAACTCGCGCAGAGGCGCCGTTACTCGCCGTCCTTTTTGAAACGCTACCGTCAGTTTGCGATCTCATAAACGTGGAACGCCACGGTCCATCGGGAGTTTGCTAATCGGAAAAATCGACTCGATTTAGCAAACGATTTCGTTTCTCTACCTGTTACGTGTTTTCACTCTATTTGTAACATTTACCGTTAGAGTACAATTTGTACACAGGATACATTGAATGAAGTAATGAAGGAAACTAAGCACAATGAAATGAGAACATTACAGAACATATGTAGTACAAAATAGAGATCAAAACAGAACTGCAGACTATATTTTATGTTGAGTAGATTATCTTAAGAAGTAAAGATGAAGTTAGTATCTTCTTATTTTTAATTTTTATAGACACTAAAATAACGATTTTCATACTTACAACAAACCATATACAACGATTATAAGGTCGAAAATAAAAATATGTAACGACATCATTATTTTTATCGTTTTCAAACGTGTTATCGTGAGCTTCCACTAACTGTTTTCCAATAATGACCTCCCAAACAATAAATTTATCGTATTGTCTTTGCTACTTTTGATGGAATCGATGGTATCTGAATTAATATTAAGAAGTGGTAATAATTGATAAGAATGTCGAATAAAAAAAATCCTAAATTACTGTGTTGCATGTTAAGATAATTTTGCAAATTCAAAAGGTAGTATAATCTGATTTGTGAACGAAATGTTATGTGTTATATCGTGAGCGACGATGCGTGTAATAAACCTCATAAATTCTCATAATATTTCAGTCACGTTTTACATGTAAACTTCCCACGTACGAGATTTTGAGTACGAAAAGGGAGGTTGGCGAATTAGAATTCCGGGAACCGGCGCCTCCGCCATTTTTGCGTATTAGCGTCCAAGAAGGGTTTCTCGCTTCCTTTGGATGCTTAAAACGTCTAAGCCCCCTACAGTAAAGTACGCCGTAAAAGTACCGAGTAGATGCTTTAAATTCTAAGATGGCGCCATGAAACTTGCAGTTCCGTTACTGGAATTATCTCGAGATATAATGGTGAAATAGGTCAAACCAATAAAGATCCGAAACCGGTCAGACTGTGTGGCGTCTTGTCTCGTTGTCTAAATTTTCCGTCGCAGATGTAGGACATCGAGGGTGGTGGTCTTTATTTAGACAAACCCCCCTTCTAAATAATGAACGGGGAGAACTTTAACCTTTAACATTTTCGGATGGAAAACTCGATGATAAATTAAGAATGAATCATTTGTTTGGAATAACAATGACTAGGAAGAAAAATAAAATAGGAGTCAAAATAAATGGGAATTTATTGACGTGTTGTATTTTTTTCTTTCTTTTCTTATATTGTTCGCGATTCGGTATTGATTTAGAGAAACTTCAGAAGGAGGTTTCTAGGGCCGGCAAATCCAATGATTCCCTCAGCTTTATCTTTTCCATTTGGAAGCCATGTTTTTCCGTATCGATCCGTACGAGAACGGACCGACCGCTTCTCGTGTCGGCTCCAGTTCTTCTTGAAGGTGCACCCCGAGGAGAGCCCCGAGCAGTGCAAAAAGGTTTTCGTGTTCCTCTCTCGGTACGCCTCCACGGACCCGATGACGAGATAATGTCGTCGCCGGAAAGATGGCAATTAGGCCGTCGGTCAAGTCCCACATAATGAAAGTTTGGGCCAGGAGCGCCGGATGTAGGTCGTCTGCCGGGGTCGACGAACCAATGTGCCTTCTATCGATCGCGGATTTACTACTGTACTCCCAACACGTAACGTAAAATTCTCATACATCCAGCCTCTCTGTGATATGTATAATGTAGTGATTCAAAAATCAGTTGTTGGGAAAGTTACAACACTTAAATTAAATAATAGTCTCTATATGTTTACTTTTTTTTATGATAAGAAATGATTATATCGTATGATTTAAATTCGGTGTAACAATTATTTTTAATTGGAAATATCGCTTGTGAGTGACAAATTGAGCATATTAATATGAAGAGATGAAAATGGTATTTTCACGTTCTACCCAAAATACCTTATATCAATAAATGTTACAATTAAGATTTGTTTATGTGTTAAATGTCATTTAAACTTCAAATGTAAACTTTTTAGATTTTAGTAAGATACCTACAAAAATCTGCGTACAGTATGTAAAATGCAAATTTAAACTATATCGAAGTCGTCTAAACAAACAACACAAAAGTTTCATATAGTCGTGCTCAAAAGCCTAATATGCAGAAAATCTAGACAAGGTGGCAATGTTTTGATTTGCTCTTAATCGTAATTTTGATTTTTGTTTGATTTTCGAATTCGTCGGTCTAGTTCTTTCCAAATATGCTCTATAGGATTTAGATCCAATCATTGGTGTAGATGGTGAAGCTGTTTCAGTACATTATATAGCAACCAATACTTCACATTTGTAGTTGTATGCTTCAGATTATTTTCATGCTGAAAAATTCTGTGATTTCAAAACTAAGAAGACGTATACTTTACAGCAAACTATAGCATAAATGTGAATAGATATCCTATTATAGATCCTATGATCCATAATACCTTCAGTAAATATGAATTTTCTACCTTAACTGCTGACATCGCATCGCACCACCAGGTTTTACAGTACTTACGATAGCAAAATTTAAACGTTTCTCAGCGTTAACTTTAGAGATTAACCCCAGATCTAGGTTTATAAGATCTTTTCAGAATTTTTTCAAAATTGTGATAATATTATATAAAAGCAAAACTCAAAATTTGTAGAGTGTATGAAGACTTTTTGATTGATCTCTGCGGTCTCAATAAGACTGTCTTTAGTATTAATCATATTTATTTAAAAACGACAGGTTTAAGGATTGGTAACCTAAGCATGTAGTAGTTTTTTCATTAGTGATGTAACGTTGGTGTATTATTGTAAATTATAGAAGTGATGCTAGAAAAGATCTATTTCAAAACTTGATTGAATTCAATTTAAACTTAAATTTATTAATAATAGCAATCAGTTTGTGC